AAATTCTAATTAAAACCATTCCACCAGATGATTTTATTTTATTTCTTTCAACTTGTAATTAAAGCATTTACTGGCCAACTATCCAAAAGAAAAGAAAAGATTCTGCCTGGGTACTTCAAGAAAATGGGATGAAGGCCCCTGAAATGGTGACTTGGTTGTTTGTCATTTAATAATATCATCTTCTTCTTGAAAGAAGATGGTTTTAGGAGAAGAGCTGATTGTGCTGTAGGGAATTCAATTTAGCTAGATTATAGAATGGTTCAAGAATTAATTCCTCATGCATTTTTTTTAAAGTCCTATACATGCCCAGTAGCAGGACCCTTATGCAAATCCAGGACTCACCAGTCCAGGAATTTGTAAATGGTGAACCAAGCCACAGGTGAGGACCCACACTCTCAGAACTGCTCAGCGTGCCCTGCCTTGGGCTTCTTTCCCCTGCTCTCATTTTCTGATTTGGTTGGGTCCTGACTCTCTCACTATTCTAGTGAATTGCACGTGATAACTGGTCTCATGGGCCCCCAGAGCTCTCGGATTTCACTTGCTCCTCGCTCACTGGACCCATCTTCTCTCCTGTCTGACAGGGGCACTTCGTCCAGGTGTTAAGAGATTAGGCAGACACCACATGCTTTGCCCTGGGTTAGTAGTTCCACATATGGAAGTTGCTATCCGTAAATGAGAGAGGGCCTTTACAAATTTATAAGAAAAACTCTGAGGCCACAGTAGATAAACCAAGACATAAATCGCCAACAAAATATAATCTGAATTGCTAAATGTGTTTAAAATGCAGGTTTAAACAAGCAGGATATATACTGTTTTTCACCCACCAGATTAATGGAGGATAATCACAATCCATAATGTTGATGATTAGGAATGATCAAGTGTGCTAGTGAAAGTAAAAAGGGGTATCAGTTGCTTCTCTAACAAGCTCAGAGACCAGGACAAGTGTGCAACTGGAGGCCCACCTACCATGTCTACCTATTTAAAAGTTACAAGCAAAGCTAAGGAACTGTTAAATATTTTCAATCTTCCTACCCTGGCAAATACACCTTCCTAAGGACTTGGATGAATTTATCATTTCATGACTCCCAGTTCTTGGATAGAACTTGTTGGGACAGGGAGAGTGATCCCTAAGCTCCTGGCGCCTGGCCTGTGCCTCTCTCTGCCTAGCTCTAGCTCTATCACACCATGAGGGGCTTTGTGCCCATACGTGTGGACACCAGGACTGCACATTCCAGGTTTTTCCATTAGTCCCATCCACTCACAAACCTGCCTAGGGGTATGCACACTGAACTTGAGGTCTGTTCTTGAGTAAATGGCCCAAGGAAAGAGACTCTGAAACTGTGGAAGCCAGGTGTCGTAGCCTGAGGCAGGCAACTTCAAGACCCCAGCCACACGGAGAATGATCTAGAAAGTCAGGGGTCATGAGATCCCAGTAGGTTATCCCCCTGACCCATAGAACTCTTGACCCATAGGAAGTATCATGGCCCAAGGAAGACCAGAGAGGGACCCGGGAAAGTGTGGGTAAGAACAGGGGCCCTTCTCACCAAGGTCAGTAGTAATAGGTATAGTTTTTATAGGAAACTGCTGGACAATATGCCTCAAAAAGTTTAAAATGTTAATAATCTATGACCCAGACATTCAATCTTTCAGAATTGGAACACTATACAGAAATCTAAAGAAAAAAGTGAAATAATAATCTATACAAAATATTATTTAGTGATGTTATTTATCATATTCCTCCCATAAAAAAAATTCACAGCCTGTATGTCTAATAATAAGTCAATTACTAAATAACTGATAGAACTATCCAACTATAACTTACAATGGTCAGTGTCAAAAATAATAAGAAATAATTTAATATGTAATATTAAGAGAAATATTAAGTGAAGTGCTGCATACATAATGACAAATGCTCATAAAAAGATGTGAAAATTTCAATACATTATAACTTAACTATGGAAAAATATATAAATGTAAATATGACAGAATAGAATATTAATTGCTATTGATAAAGTGGGTGGTAATGAGACAATGGATACAGGTAATATTTTCTCTTTATGTTGCCTTTTATTTGGAAAATTTTCTGAATAACAGCTTATTAATTTTACTCCACCCAAAAGGAAAGTAAAATTCTTTTAGACGTTTTTGAAATAGGGAATAAATGCACAATATAAATCGTTGTCATACATCTAGTTTCTATTTTGATAGGTGCTCATTACAGTGTTAAAAATAAGTAAGTTAATATACAAGTCAGCAAAGAAAGCAAGCATCATAGTATATAGGCAGAAATGGATGAGGTAGGTCATGGCCCAGAATTATGATTAATCTAATTCTGCACAGCTGTGGACCAAATATAAAAATAGAATAAATCCATATGAAATTCCTTAAATACATGAGTAGAAATAGAGGGCCAAAATGAAAAGGAAGAAAAAACGAAGCTTTGCTGGCTATAAAAGTAAACATAGTTGATGTGACTTTTCCTGAGCTTACTGGCAGGTAGAGCAAAGAAAGGCCACTATTGGTGCTTCATTTTATTTGTGATCAGCACCAACAGAGATGTGTCACTTAGTACGTTCTTGGTTTGATCTGTCTTTTCCACGTGCACTGCCTCTCTAGAGGGCATCCTGGCTCACCTCTGTATTTCTAGTTTGGTTTATGAGAGTGGCACAATAAAAACAGGTTGAACTGAGCTGTTTCTGACATTTAATGTTTCTTGCATCTAAGCTGTTGCCTCAGGACATCTCTCTGTCCTCCCAAGTTCTCAGAAGATTCCAGAGTGACTCAGTTGTTACCCTGGCTTGGTGCTTTGCAGTGGCTAGAGAGAAAAACATGTTTGTTTTTAGTTTAAAGGTAGGTATAGAGAATGTAGAGAATAGCAGATAGACAATCAGGGAAAAATGAAGAAGACATAAAGTTCCTGTGGGGAAAAGGTTTGGGGAGGAAATTTCCTGAATACAGTGTATGAGACAGTGCTGGGTCTGAAGGTCCCCCAAACCACTGTCCCTTGTGATAATAACAGCAAGGCCAGGGTCCCTAAGACCATCATCAGGTTTGGTAATTTGCTAGAAGGACTCACAGACTTGCTTTAAGCCATTAGACCCAATGTTACAAAAGGATACATATTCTTATTATTGCAAAAGGATACATATTAAAATATCCAAGGGAAGAAACCCTTGGGGCAGAACCCAGGAGAGTCCCCACATGAAGCTTCCAGTTGTCCCCCGTCAGTAGGGTCATGGACAACATATCTTCTCCCAGCAACAATGTGTGACTATATGCATAGAATATTGCCAACCAGTGAAGCTCATCAAAGCCTTGAGGTCTAGAGATTTTATCGGGACTTCATCATGACCCCCCACCTGACTCGACCTTGGTCTGTAGCTTGGCCAGAGTTTGATCTTGTATTGCATGGCCCAAGGCACCCACCATAACTCACACAGAGTGACCAGTGTGGCCCAAGGCCCCTAGGTAAACAAAGCCACTCTTTTTAGGCAGGTCATTCCAAGGACATAGAGATCACCACCTCGGAGTCAAGGACAAAGGCCCGATCTTTCTTTGGGTAAAATTAATTCTTTATCACATAGACAAACACATTCAGATTCTCTAAAGGCAACTGTATATGGCATCATCGGGTATGAAGATTTGTTACTTAGGTTGAGTATGCTTTAGATAATCTATGTGGCTGCTCCCCTTTCTTACCCGCTGTAAGTGAGAACAGTCCAGAGCTGGAACAAGACAAGCTATCAAAGCAGCATTTCTAAAGACTGGTGTTTGCAGGTTGAGTTCCCTGGAAAGCAGTCTCTGAGATGGAATCAAATGTGCACCATATTTATTAAGGGGTACCTGTGGGAGGCAGAATAACAGCCCCTCAAACATCTACCATTAACCCTTACAACCTGTGAAAATATTAGTTTAGATAGTAAAAGGGACTTTGCCAATATGAATAAGTTAGGAAAGATCATCCTGGACTACCTGAATGAGTTACAATATGAGGGTTCATATAGTAATGGAGGGTCAGAGTCAGGAGGGTCAGAAAAAGAAGGAAATGTGACACCAAAAGCAGAGGTCTTGGAGAGAGATTTGAAGCTGCTTGTGCTACTGGCTCTGAAGATAGAAAAAGGGGCTATGAGTCGAAGAAGAAGCCAGTCTCAAGAAGCTGGAAAAAGCAAAGCAATGGATTCTCCTGAGGAGCCTTCAGAAGGAAGGCAGCCCCACCAAAATCTTAATTGCAGTCCAGTGAAGTGTATGACCTCCAGAAGTGTAAGAGAAAGCTTTTGTGTTGTTTGAAGCCACTGAGTTTGTGGCCATAGGAAACCAATGCCCTTGAGATTAAGAGGAAGCAGGAATGGGGAGAAAGACAAGACCAGTGATGGTGGTCAAGGCTCAAGGACAGTCTTGGCCAACTGCCTGGGGAGCTCCATGCTGGCAGAGCCCTTTGGAATTGTCTTTGATTGGACTGACATGGCCAGGCCTTCCTACCCTGCCTCTACCAGCCACAGCTGCAGCAGAGGTAACCTCAGAATGGCTTACTGGTAAGGGCTGCTGCTAACAGCGCCCCCAGCTTACTTGAAGGGGGATCTGGGCATTCCACCCTAGTGCCCACTCAAGGTGGTGTTTGGACACAGTCACTGTGCTCCCTCTTTGCCCTCCTGCTTAAGTCAGAAGAAAGAACAAGCAGACATGTCCCCTTGATTTCCTCTTGGGTGTAAAAGCATTTTCATGAAGGTTCCAGCAGAAGTTGCCTCCAGGCACTGGGTTAATTAATTCATGCGGGCAACAGAGGAAGCAAGCTGTTCACAGGAGTAGGCTTTTCATGCTTACTCCAAATCTGTGGCTCTTCTATCTTCACATTTGCATACTAAAAATAAGCTAACAGTTCCCCGGAGGTGAGGTGTCTGCCAGGATACACTCTCAGAAAAAGTCACAAGGTCTGGCACAGGGATGTGACTAGGGGAAGCTAAAATAGCACTAGTAATAATAACAGCTGACATTTCTTTATTGATTATCAGGTTCCATTCCAAAGACAGCTTTATAACTAGAGTGTGGTCTGGACGTGTTGCACCCAGGAGCTCGTCAGAAATGCTGACTGTCAGGTCTCACTCCAGGCCTACCAAATGGAAGCTGCAATTTAACAAGATCCCCAGTAAGTTATAAGTAGAGTAAAATTTGAAAAAATACTGCTTTACATATGTTAGCTCTTTTAATTCTCACAAAAAAACCATAGGAGGGAGCTATTATTGGTATTCCTTTTTTACAGAGGAAGACATTTGGACACAGAGAGATTAAGGGATTTGCTGAGAGTCCCACAGCTTGTAGGAGGGGAGTCAGGATTGAACTGAGGTAGACTTGTTGCACAATCTGAGCTCTTAAGCCTTCCTGCTCCCGAAATAAGTGACTTTGGTGTTACCCAGAACTGGATTCCTGTATCAGGTCCTTCTTGCTGGCCACGTACCCCTGGACAGGTTATTTAACCTCTCTGAGCTGCTGTTTCTTCATCGATAAGGTGAGTTAAGACTTATATCTACTTTGTAGGGGTTCTGTGAGGCAAAATAAGAAAATGCATGCATGTGAAGAGCAATTAGCAGTCCATGTTCTTTTCTCCTGTGCTACTATTATCATTACCGTCATCACCACCGTCATTATAACCATCAGGTTGCTGGGATGAGGGTCCAGGTTTGGAGGACAGGAGCTGCAGAAACAGGTGCCAGAAGTCACCAGAGTGGAGTTTTAAGATTGGTGCTGACAGCTGCCTTCTTGTGCTGACTACAAGACCGGTTCTTTCAGCCTCCTGAAGCCCTGGCAAGGTTTGTGGCTTGTATTCTGTGTTCTTTCGGCACAGTCAGAATCGTGATCCCGGGGTTAAATATCTTCTTGGGATAGTTAACTTGAGGGCAGTGTTCTCCCCAAGTTGTGGTTGCTGTGGAAACAGGTGCCCCTCAGGGGCCAAGAAAATGCGGATGGAGCCTTGCCTTCTCCTCTCCTGGAAAATCACTCTTCACTTTCTCCAGTGCTTGTCATTCCCAAGTAACATTTGCCAAAAGAGCACATGCTGGCTGATGCCCATCCTGTCACCATCTCTTTGTGACTGTTGGAAGGGACATACTTTCTGGCTTGTATCCAGGTCTTCGCAGTTGGTGCTGGTGGGCCGGGTTAGAAGTGGTGCTGACCCTTTGAGATTGATTTTCTTTATCTAGCCTTGCATTTTCTTGCAGCTCCTTGAAAAACCTCCTCTTTTCTGGGACTCCTCATGCAAGCATGCCACAGTATTTAAAAGAAGGCCAGAATCTTCAGCACTGGAAGGAAGCTCTCATGACGGGACAATAGCTCTTCAAATAGCTATGTCCCCTGAAGTTCAGCTTCCTTCCCAGTCCACAGGGTCTGTTCAAATTCCCACTGCTTCCCAGCACACTTCCCCCATGAGGGGTTTGCACCCCCTCGTGTGTTTGTGTGGACACAAATAACTTTCTCTTGTTTTCCTTAGCACATTGGAGAGAGGCTGGAATGTTAAAAAATAAACAAAGAACCTAAGAAAACAGCAAGGAAAATCAGAAGAGAAACCAAGAAAAGTAGCAGGTATAAAAAATGAACTAGTTGTTGCTCATGTAATTGCGTATTAATAATACCAAAATAAAAAAGTTAAAAACAAATAGACCAGAACTCCTGGGCAGATGGCTACACTCTAGTCTCAGAGTTCCCATCCCCTATGCAGGATCCTTCTCCAGATTTTTACCCCCCAGTGCCAGGCTTCCTCTGTCTCTGAACCTGCTGCTATCCCAGCAAAAGGAGCTGGTTAGCTGGCCACCTCTTGAAGCAAAGGCCAAGAAGAAAGGGTCTAACTCTGCTATTCCTATCCCCGTTCCCAAAGAGAAGGAAATTATTCTAGAATAGAGCAGAACATGGAAAAAAATATGGGCTCTAACCTGTCTTGGACCCAGAGTCACTTTTCTCTCTTAAATATTTCAATAGAATGGAATTTACCTCTTCATGTGCAGTCAAAATGAAGAAAGAACAATTTGTCAAGACCATCCACACTTCATCAAAAACCTCTACTACTTTGAAATTAGCCAGACTTCCTGCCTCCTTCTCTCTTTCCTTTTATTTCTTTCTGGACCCATTTTATCCATACAATAAATACTGAGTTCCAACTCTGTGTAAAGTGCCTTGGGATGGGGCACTGATTTGAAAATGTTGGTGTGAGTTGGATCCCAAATACATTTTATGTTTCTAAAATTCTTAGGCTTAGTAACACTATACCTTGCAAATAATGAAACATCTGTATAAGTTCACTCTCCCTTTCTTGAATGCATAACTTTCTGTGGCTCCATACAAGTATGTGTTCAGGGTCTGTGAATACACAGGCGTTTGGGTCTGGGTAGACACACGTGCCAGAACGCGTGTGTGTGCATGCCAGTGTTGCGAATCCAGCTCTTTGCCGATGTTTGTTTTATGCCCACTGACCCAGATACTTTCTGGAGGTGGACTTTCTGAGGCTTTGGTTAGTGGGTGGTAGCTCAGCAGCTGGCACACCCTCACCCCCAATACACCCTGTGCCATTACCTTGCAGGGCAGGATACCCAATTCCCAGGGGCCTACGGAGCTGACCGCATGCCAGAAGAAGGTGCAACACACCTGATTCTTACAATTCAAGTTCGAGAACAGGCTGTGCCCCCTGGGGAGCCCTTCCTCAGCCAGGTAATGGGAGGGAGGCAGCAGATGGCATCCCCCACTTCTCCGTTGAACCTGCCCCCAAGCTCAGCCCTACTTTGGCCCGCTCCCTATCTCCTTTCACGGTTCTGTGGACTCTTTTCATATTAAACAAAGCTTTCTGCCAGCTTTTCCTTCCGAGAAGGAGGGGCTCTCAATTAAGCAACCACCCGGAAAACCTGCCATTCTGCTCTCCCTCCTCTCCAGCTGCCCAAATCGCTTCCCTGCGTCCGTCTCCGTAACTGCTCTCTCAGGCCACATCCTTCGCCGATGTCTCCAGCATCAGCTGCCTGGTTGCCAGGCACAAAGGCCCCCAAGAATAATGAGAACCATTTGCTTTTATGGAGTGCCTCTCTTCGAGGATGTCCAAGTACCTTTCAGACAATTACATGTTATTGTTGTAAATGGGGAAACTGAGGACTAAATAAATTAAACTCCTTCCTTAGAGACACATGGCTGATAACTCAAAGATTCCAGTCCACCTGCTTTTCTCATTTTCAATCCTTCCCAAAAAAGGCAATTTACAACCCACAAAGTGAAGCTAAAACAAAATTCTGGAGCTTTTTTCTTTGAAGCATGTCTCTTCCCTTAATTACCCTTCCTACTCCACCAGCTCATCTTCTGCTTTCCAAGGGTCTGCAGGCACTAAGCCCCCCAAGCTCCTACACTCATGCAAGTCCAGGGGGTATCTGTGCTCCAGAAAAACAGGGGCAGAAAGGTCATTAGAATACGTGGAGGCCAGGCTGCCTCCCTGCCTGGAATTTGCTCCTACATTAGCTTAATTCATACATATGTGTGTGTGCATGTTTGTGTGGACATAGGCAATATCTTTCATGGGTCTGATTCCGCAGATATGACAGAAGACAACGTAGGCATGGCCTCTGACCCTGAGCTTGCAACAGCTCTGGTGCTACTACTGTCACTACCTCCACTGCACACTGGCAGAGCCAGAGAGAAGGAGGTCTCATTTTCTCACTTGTAAGCCAAAGCACTTGAAACTACTTGCACCCACAGAAAAGGTGTGGGCCTAAGGGCCTGCAAATTCCTGGAATTATAAAGAGCATTCTGTTTATTAAAAATATTTCACTTGGGACATGAAAGATCTATTACAATGTTGATAGGTTTTTTCCCCATAATGAAAGCTACATAATAATAGTAATAAGGACTGCAAAAATAATAGCTAACATTTATAAATATTAAGTACTAAGCATCAAACACTATATATACATTATATCATTTATTCTTCATATCAATTTTCTGAGCTGGGAACTATTAGTATCCCCTTATGTAGATGAGGAAACCGAGGCGCAGAAATGTTATAAAGTTTTCCCAATGTCTAATAAGCACCAGATATTGAACTTGGGACTTTAAAAATACTGTCACAGTTCACTCTGCAAATCTGGGAAGTACTTAGCATACCATGAAGAAAGGGGGGTTTAGGAGAGTAAGTCTATTTTGCAGGGCACACAGCCTGTGAGGTGTGACAGGCAGGAAGCCTAGGCTGGCTGTCTCCACAGTTACTGCTCTTTATACCACTGTCCCCACTGGAGTGCCTATCACCTTCTACAGTCTGTGCAGAGCCGAGTATAGTGCTGACTCACAACAGACATTCCATAAACATGTGCTTGTTCATTTTATTGAGCTAATGGATTCAAAATTAAAAATTGATATTAAATTCTGTTATCCACACTCCTGAGAGTAATAACATGGGTAATTAAAGGGGTGCATGATTCCTCAATCGTGGATGCTTTGCTTTAAAAATGCGTTTATGTATTTATGTTTGAATACGGGTTTGCTGTGATACCCTAAGTGTAGTGAACAATGTTTTTAATGAAGATATCATGTGATGGCCTGACTCAGGAGAAGTTGGAGTAACCATATTTCTACTGGCTTAGTATCCTGCTAATCCCAGCTCCCCACAGGCACCTTGTATCTCATACACTGAGGTCGCAAACTGGCCATCCTGGCTGTCCTTGACTTGTGAGTGGTTTATTTGACTCACCCAAAGGGTATGCCTGCAAAGTGCTATCCTTCCTCCCTCCCTCCCTCCTTCCCTCCTTACTTCCTTCCTTTCTTCCTTCCTTCCTTCCTTCCTTCCTTCCTTCCTTCCTTCCTTCCTTCCTTCCTTCCTTCCTTTCTTCCTTCCTTCCTTCCTGTGAAATTTATTATTGTTGTCAACATTAAAAAATGAGGAGATTTTTGTCTAGATTTCTGTCTTCTGAAAAATTTTATTATCTGGCAACCTGGGCCCCGCATTTGTACTCGGCAGTCAGCTAGAGCTAATTAATGACAGGCTTCTCTTCTCAATGGGGCCTGTGCCCTCCACATGCTCTCAGTCTCCACCACCCTCTGTTGTCTCCCCAACACCAAGGCTGAGTGTTAGTTGCCACCAATCCTCATGCTCATGCGATTGAATCCCAGCCAGTTCTATTCAAGCCTGCTGTGGATCTAGCAGCTGAAGGCATTTAATTTCATGAGCCATGTCTTAGTGATGCAAATCACCCAGGGTGAAGAGAGGCGGATACAGATGTCACTTCAGCTGGTCCCCATGGTCCACCTTCCTCATATCTTGTCTGACGGGGCACTAGTGAGTGTAGAGTGAGATGAAATTTCTCTGTCCCTAGTGTCAAGTCTGCAGAACTTTCCAGCTTCCCTCAAGTAACCCAGAAAGAGATAGGCAAATATTAATCTTGAAAATTAACTGCCAAAGGAGTCCAGCCCTTTCATTTCAAACTTCTCATCAACAACAAAAAATCCTTTCTATTAAATCACTTAGTAGTGAGCATGTAGTCCATCCCAAATAATTTATTTTCGCCTGAACAGTGTTGCTTTTTTTACTCTGGGGTGCTTACTTCCTGACTTACCCCTTCCCATGACAGAAGTGATCATTGATGAGTGTTTGGGAAAAGGCACATCTCGTGCTCTATTCCCTACTGACAGTGTGTAAATAGGATTGTTGGTACCGTTGTCAAAGGAGCTACAGGATAAGGTTGCCAAGAACTTGAGAGCACTCTTTGTCTTGCCAAAATAGCAAGTCCACAGATTTGGTTACAAGTTGTGTCTACACCTGGACACACATTTCTGCCAGTCTGGGCAGAAATTGGCTCTTCTCATGGTGGTTGTGGGAAGCTGAATCAGTGTTCCCAAGTCTTCATTCTCAGAATTCATATCTCCGTGCCCTTTCTCCTATGACTTCACAGTTCCTTCCACTATAGTTTCTGGATTGTACATCTCTATCTATCTTTGGACTTGACCATTCCATTTGCTTTGGTAATTACAATATGGATAGTGAGTTACAATGTGCCTGTTCCTTGTGGAGGGTTGAGGAAGCTAGCAAATTTCCCACCAGCCCTATTAAATGCCTTCCCTCTGTTATGAGAAAAATATACCCCAGGCAGTTATTACCCTTTAAGCTTCTGTCTTGGAATGAAAATGCAGGGAACAGACCTGGAATCAACCAACATAGTCCAGCTGAGCCCAGCTAAGATCAGCCAAACCACAGCCAAATTTTGATCTGTAAGTTTGTAATGAATATTTGTTGCCGAAAGCCACTCAGATTTGGTTGGTTGTTCTCTCCAGAAAAATCTGGCTAATACAGCTAGGGAATGGGGGAAAAAGAAGGGGATTACCTGTTCTAGTCTGCAAATTATTGTGAATCTTGATAATGGTATGTGATATGTTGCTCTGGTTTTATCTGTTCACACCACAAATGCACTTTTACTAAGATTTTGTTTTGTTTTGCCATGTTCTGTATGTTGCTGTGATGGTACATGCACATAAGCCACATTGTACCCCTCCACTAGACTGACACTGGTACATGCCGTCTGAAATAAGTGAAGATATCTGCCTTGAGTGGACTCCTTCAATGGGAACTGCAAGTTTACCATATAATGTGGAGAAAGAAAAGGAGGTGTGGTACTAAAGATTGTGTTGAATAGGCATTTTGTAATTTGTCAAGAACTAAGAAAAGCAACTTATTTTTCTAATTAAAAGGCCCTAGGTGTCCAAATCTACCTCACTCTACCAGCTTCTTACTTTTCCGTCTACCTAACTCCATGGGCTTCTGAAACCGGGTTTCTGTGGGCAGCTTTGAGGATTAGTCCCACTGGCCCTCTTATCAGTTCATTTATAGTCATCTTGTTGGGGTCACAGATAAGTACCCAACTCATTAGGCACTGACCCCTACTGGAGTAATCATCATAAACCACCATGAGCCCTTCCCAGTTCAATTGATGTGTAAACTATTTAAGGACAAGATGAAATGAACAGGAAAGATTTTCTGGTTTAGTTTAATTGCTTCTCAGGTGGCCTCTCATTTACCAAGCTCTGCTACAAGTAAGAACCAAAACTACCCTAGTGAAACTAATATAAAAGACCCAAGCACTTTGGGGAATACAGCTTGATTCAATAGATTCCCAGGGAACCAGCATTGCCAGATTGAAAGAAAGACTGTTTCAGTAGACTTGGTGTGCAGGTGGCGGTCCTCTCCTTTGCAGAAGCATAATTTAACATGGCATCTTCTTTAGATTTAATGGACAGATTACATTGTTAACCAATTTTTTGCTCTTTAAACTATAAAGAAAAAGATGACTATTTTAAACATATGTCATCTCTGTTTGGGCGTCTTCATTGGCATACATTTTGAGGGCATCGAGAAGAAGGGTGGTTAAAAACTGCAGTAGAAGTACACAGCAGGGTAGATGGAACAAGACAGGCAGGAATCTGATGGTTGCTGAGGCAACATGGCACTTCATGGCACTATTTTCTCTGCTTTTGTGTATGATTGGGATTTTTCATCATGAAAATGAAACATTTTAACATCTGCAGTCATGGCAACTCACATCTGAACCCAAAAATCTTATTTTGGGATGGGCTTTGTGTTGCCACAGGACTGTCCAGAGAGCCCATTTCACTGAGCACACTGGATCCTGGAGTTCTTCAACTTTAACTATTTTCTCATGCTGTGGAAACAACCAGCTCTGGATTTTCAAGGTCTGACTGTCAAATATGCTTGGGTGAAATGTGCTTTTTGCCTTTTATCTTTCAGTAGTCTTCCTTTTTTGCCTTGGGTGTGACTGGAATCCAGTAGCAATGGTGCCCTTCAGTTGTGTAAAATGAAGGCTCTGCTAAGCGGACGAATCCCTGGCTCTGCCTCTGATGACATTTCCGGGGCCCAGAACCTGAAGCCGAATCCACAGCTTCCCTCAGTTCTTGACCAGCCAAGACCAGGACTCATTGAGACGTCGGAAGTTGGGTCTCAATAACGGGAGTTATTGGAGGTCTTGCTGCCTGTGGTGTGCATTCAGTATAACTGGCCTGGGAGAGGTGGGAGCCTGTGAAACTCCGTACCCACCCAGAGCCCACACTGTGTTTACCCAGATCATGTCAGCTGGCTTCCAAATGGGATCTGATTGAGACTGGACCTGTGATCTTATTCCTAGCCATGATACCTTACTTGCTTACTGATTAGTGCTAGATGCTTAAATAGGCAACAGGGCTCCTCAGTCTTGCTCTTGTCCCACCCACTTACTGAATTGGAATTCCCTGGCCAATTAGGTCTCAATTTATTGCATCTGTTTGAACAACGTACTTTGGATTTGGGCCATGCCCCCAAGAATCAGACCTACAACTAATTCATTCTCTTTACACTGACCTCACTTGTCTCATGGCCAAGTTCCTAAATGATGGCAATCACTTTCTCTTGTTCTCATAAGCACAGCTGAAACAGACTACAATTTTCTATGATACTTTTAAGAAAAGCACAAGTAAAAATACATTTGAACTTTAAGAAACAGAAACATGACACATTCAGAGTTCAAATTTTTTACCCCAAAACAACTAATTGGCTGACTTGGTTATTCTGGTTATTTGTTTATTTGGTTTGCACATCCAGTTGTGGGGTGCACATCTGTACAGAGGACATCTTTTAGACCTAATGACACAGAGCTTTCAAAATGTCCAGGCTGCTTGCAAGTAGTGAGGCAGTCTGCCCCCCACTAGGAAAGGCAGAGGTATTCCTT